ACATACTTTTATATATACATAATATTATTATTATCTTTTCATATACATTTATATATATGTATATAAAAGGCTTATAGGCTTATATATATATATATATATATATATATATATATATATTATACGGTATATATTGTTATTAACAACAATATCCCTTAATAAACAACTTCCATTATATAGCCTATATTTGACTTTTATTTTATAAACGAAAACAAGACACTTATTATTATTATTATTATTATTATTATTATTATTATTATTATTATTATTCTATAGAAAAATTAAAATGAATAGTTTGTGTAAATAAAAATGAAAGCAAGACATTTTATGTAATGATAAATATAAATTGTTATTATTATTATCTTTATTATTAGAAAATCAGAATAAATATTTTGTTTCTTTAGGCTTAATTCCTAAAACATTTAAAAAAAACCCGAAAATATTTATGATTGGTTTCGATATCTATTAGTAGTTTATCAAATGACAGTAATAATAATAATAATAATAATAATAATAATAATAATATATAGTAATAATAATAATAATAGGCCTAATAATAGTAGTAATATAATGCGCCTATTCCAAAAAAAAAAGCCTCGAAGCGCTGAAGATTGAATACTGTACATTACACCTACATAAATATGAAAATGTTGACAGTAATGTTACCACTCATTGTCTGTTTATGTTATTTAAATATGCTTACTTTGGTTGTCGTTTAATTTAGAAGTCCCTTGATGGATAAGCCTATTATCAGGCCTATTTTTTATAAACATTTTAAAAAATGGGCAAATAATTAAAAATTTATTTTAACAGTGTATGCTGATGTAAATCTTAGGGTATCTATTTTTACTTTCAAACAAATTGTTGAAATTTACGACTTCAGGCCTAACTACAATAAAGCAAATTTCATGCCGTTTTTAGACAGAACTAAAGAAAACGATGTCATTGACTTTAACGAATATAAATTGTTTTAATGCTTCCAGCTAAGAAGATATATCCCAACTATATAATTATTAAGATGTATGTTCATTAAACCTAAAAATAATAACATTTAGATTTTATACATAACTGGTAGCAGTAAAAACGATTAGTTGGCCAGGATACAATGTGCTCTACTAAACCATGTTTTGGTCTTGCTTCTGTAGTGTCTAATTATTTGCCTCGTTTAAGTGGCATTTATGCTTATAAATACATGACAATTACGATCGAAAGAGGTTTTTAATAAACATTGACAAAGGTAATTGATCTGGTGTAATCCTTTGTACACGCACCGCACTCATTCGAACCGAACGGTTCTAAAACGGACCACGGAGGTCATTATGGCAGGAGAATATAGCTAGTCTTTTATCTTTAACTCTCGGAACGCACATTTTCCTTACCGTATAGTGTACCTACAATATATTCTCGAAACAGATGTTTTAATAGTTTAACAATTAATAGCAACAGCACAACCTCATTCACTGTGATGTTTTAACGTTCGTTTGATTTATCGTGCGGACAAAATTTGATGGATATTAAGAATGTTTTGTTCTCAACTAACAAAAATATTGTTTGAATTATTCCATTGAAGATCTCTGTGACTATCAGTAATTATCATTGTTTATATTTATTCTGTACTGAAATATATAACAATATAATTATATATTATGTAGGGGATTTACATAGAGTATGTTACTATGTTCTAATGTTTTAATTTGCAAATATTATTAATAAATGAATAATACCGAATTTAATTCTTTGTTTTAAGATAATATATATATATATATATATATATAATATATATATACATAATACATATTATG